TCTCTCTCTCTCTCATTCTGTCTCAAATAAATAAATAAAATCTTTAAAAAAAAAAAAAGAAATACCTGTAATCAATGGGAAAATGGATTACGTTCCCACTAAAAATCTGATGCTCAGATTCTTCATACTCTAATAAAGCCAATTTGTTAAGTGATTACATGTATTTATGTTGCTAGTTCCATTAGTTCCAAATGATGTATCTATCATCTTTTTTTCTTTGCCTATCTCGACTATATTAAGAAGTCACAGATTCCCCAAAATATCTCACAGAGCTCAGTTGTAGAAGTTATTTAGGCTTATAAATATAGGTTCATGAGGATGAAGGCAAACATCCACCAAAGAACACAGAACTGGGTAATGCAAGCATGAGGTGGGAAAAGTGTACCCCATTTCAAGATGTTCTGCCTATACATTGCTTTATTGCCCACACAAAGCAAAAGCTTTGGAAAAGCCACAGGAGAATTCATTTTAATTAACTTTTCTCTGCCTTGATTACAGGAAAGTCTATTTATGAGTCACAGAGGAAAGATTCACTCTAGTCACTCTTTGCTAACACAAACTTAAAACAGGTCATCTGTGACCTCAAGTGATCACTCTGAAAAATATTCAGATTCCCTCCATCAGCTAAGCAGCATGGCGCTCAGATTCTAGGCAAACGAGAAAGCTCGACGATGAGAAGGACAGCCTGATAAATTAATCACTACACTAACATCACAACCCACTGGCAACTGGCATTTTTTTTTTAAATCTGCAGTTATAGAGACATTAGCTCATACTTATTTCTCCCTTGAACTTCCTAGGCATTCTATCCATACCTGTTAAACATCTTTTACCCATCTACTTCGAATTATGAGAATTTATATACTTGTCTTAACTCCCTTCCTAGACTGTGGGCTTCTCAGGAGCAGGAAACATCAGGGTCACCACGTACATTGTAAGGAGACATGTGGAAACTGGAATCTAGCCAGCACTCAGCTGGCCAAGCCCTGCATCTCCAGGGCTGTATCTACCCAGAGGCACACCTTTTTCTAATTTGTACAAGATTTTTCTAATCTTGTAACTCTCTTGTGTCTAACACAAAGAGAAACTCAACTCAGAATTCTTTACCCTGAGAAGTCTTCCTTGAACAACAGAAAGTTTGCATTCTTACTGATCCTAAAATGGATTATGTTGACTTATAGGTCTGTGAACTTGGTTAACACGCTATGTGTAAATGTTAAATCTAGATTTGGTTCCTTCCTCATCTCCAAAAGCCAGTGAGCATTCCTGGAACCAGGCTTGTATCGGATTTGCAAATCACATAGGTTCTACTCTATGCATGACGGTAACAACCAACAGTTACTGATGCTGCTGTTGTATCAATGAAGGAGGACAAGGGGCCTTACCTGCAAACACGGAACCATGTCACAACACAGCCGAAGTATCTGTTGTTCCAAGACTGATGGTTGTTCTGGGTCACCAGGAACCCACGGTTGAAGTAAGACTTTGAGCAGCGTTAGTCGCAATTTAGCATATTCTTGCAACTGGGATGGTTCGCAATATAGATACCATAGAAATGGTGCCATTATTTGGATACATGAAACTTCTGACCTGCAAATCATTCATGCATAAGCCAGTCACCAAGTTAAACAGGGTACCAAGCAGTAATTGTCAAACATCAACTTACAGTTCATGACACACTAGGATACCATGGAATGTAACTTGTTTTTGTGATTCTTCAATTCCACCATGACCTACCTGGATCCATGCCAAGCAAGTCTTTGTGTCCTGGGGAAAATGACAACACCTGGAGCCCACAAGCCAGAAGCCCAGGACTACGAGAACCTCTACTTGCATACTAAAATAGCCTCTGCATCTGCAGGACCAGGCTTTGGTGAACATCAAAATGATCCTAGAACCTTTTTGGAATTGTAGACGTCAGGATGCACTCTCCAGGAATAGGACATGGGCATGCATTTTTGGAAAAACTCTATAGATGAAGTTCTATGTAAAACAAAACCATACAGACATACCAAGAAGCCTATATGAACAGTTAACATTTACTTGTCAAATGGTTAACACGTGGTGTCCAAGCTATTGCGCTTTATGCCTTTCAATTCATGTCATCCTCATCACAACCCTACGAAATAAAATCATCCCGTTACACAGATGCAGAAACGAAAGCAGAGAGGGGTAAAGTAATTTGCCAAGTCCTTCCTCTTAAGCTCTTCCCACTCAAAGGAGGAAGGCTTTACAAATCTTTCTTATATATTTAGATTTCAATATATCTCAGTAACTCCACATCCAAAGTCACTAAAATGCCAGAATGACCCTTGAGGTACATACATTTGATCAGGTCACCAGCTTAAGAGTGTGCCCCTTAAGATAAAGTATTTAGTCCAATTCACAAACCTTCCATAATTTAGCCTCTGCTTGTCTTTTCAGCCTCATTTCTTGCTCCCCTCTGCTCTCCACTGAGCTACACTAAATGTCTTTCAGATGTTCGATCAAGTACTCTGAGCTTTCTTCCCATTTGCTGTTTCTTCTACCTAGAACATTCTCTGCTTTCTTCCTTTCCTGTTCCTTCCTCTGCTAATTCCTGTCATCTTCCAGTTCTCTCCTTTAAAATGACTCCCTGAGGGCCTTCCCTAGCCTAAGGCAGATCCCCATTATGTGCTTCCACAGGACAATGAATATATTGTCATTATTTACTTAATATCTCTATCTCGGGCCAGACTATAAGCCAAATGACAGCATGGATTTCTGTTAACTGCTGTTATCACCAAGAATGACATACTAGGCCTCCCAAGAGACTTTCAATCACTAAATTAATCGATTCAATTATACTACATCATAGAGTAGTTTTACAATTAGCATGGATCAGGGCGCCTGGGTGGCTCAGTTGGTTAAGCGACTGCCTTCAGCTCAGGTCATGATCCTGGAGTCCCTGGATCGAGTCCCGCATCGGGCTCCCTGCTC